ACCTTTTGCACCCAATAGTGCCAGACCACAGAGCTGCAACCTCAGCAGAGCCCAAATTTGAGCACAACAAAAAGGGAACGAGCTCAACTTCATTTTCACTTGAGAGTCTAGAAAATCCCTCACCCACTGACATAACCCCTCACTCACAATGGTCCTGATACCCCCTATTGGAACTCTCCAACCCAAAAGTTATCAAGACATTTAACTCCATAAATCTTCCCCTCCCCCCCCAAAAAAAGGGAATAAGTAAATTGCTCCACAGGGGCACAAACAGTAAATTTTAACAGAGCCAAAAAAATGCCACCGTTCTCTCATTATTTACTCAGTGAACATGTGCCCACAGCAGAACAGCTAAATATCATATTCTGCATGAAGATTTTTGCTTTAAAATCTGCTCAGTTGGAGCAAAAGCAGATTCCTCTAAGTGACAGTTGCTTTTTAATTGCCTTGTACCTCATTATTTATCCTGGACACCACATGGCAGAACTACAAAGCTGAAAATTCTCCTCTGAAGATCATCAGCTCGTGCTGAGAACTTCATGTCAGATATTCATCATCTCTCTTGTACATCAGCACTGACACAACTGCACATTCTCTGTACATTGGAATATCAAATATCAGGCCTTAAAAATACATATTGGTTCAAGGCACAAGGGAGGGAGTGAGGGAAGTGAGGGAAAACCTTCCCAACAACCCAAATTGTCTTTAGTTGTATTATTGGGATATTCACGTTCCCTTAAGTTCTTGAAGGAAAAGGTGCCAAAAGAGGAGGAATAATCCAAGATTCCTGTGAGTAATTTTGTGTCAGAAAGCAGTAACTGGATTGAATCTGAGAAGAACCAAGATCAAGCATCTTCCTGTAGCACAGTGAGAACCTGTGCTGGGAAACACTGAATTCCTGAGTGAAAATAGAAAAGGAAAAAGTGGGACCTCACATCAGCTCTGGGAAGAGCTTTTTGTAGAGGCAAATTCAAGGCTGTAAATGAGTTTATAAATCCTCTCCTACATCAGAGGCAGTGTAAAGGTCCATATTTGCCTTCACTTCCAGAGCTGGAAGGACTGTAATGCCCAATCTTTCCAACCTCATGTTCATACAGATACAGAAAAGGCAGGAACTATCTGGCACATCATCTATTAAAGACAGAAACAGTCATTTTGGGCATGTTTTGAAAAAAGGCATCTCCCAGGTCTGCAAAGCCTCACTGTCCATGCAAAGCAAGCCTAGAGGAATCCTCCTTCCAGGATTAGGAGTTTCAAGCAGAGGCTGGGGATAAACAGAACAACAGATGGAATTTAAGAGCAGAAAGATGTAAAGGCAAATGGAAAGAAAGCTTAAGGTGATGGTGTAGTTTGGTTCACCAGAAAATGTGCCTCTTTTGTTTAAAAAACTAAAAAAAAAAACCACCTAAAAAAAAGAAAACAAACAAACAAACAAACAAACAAAAACAAACCCCACCCAAGCACATCTCACCTTCTGCAGGCATGGCCTGTGGGTTGCTGGAACAAAGATACACTCCATCCCCTCCAGTGAGTAAAGTGCCCAGGAAAGATTTATCCTCCTGAACAGGAACAAGCAAACAGTAACATCACAGGCTGGATCAAGGACCAGGACACTTTCTTATGTGTTTGCTCCAAGAGAGAAGGTTTTCCTTTTAAACAGCAGCCATCAGAAGTTTAGGAAATGAAGAGTTTTATCCTGGATCCAGCAGGGCCAGTGGCAGGATGGTTTGGAAGAGCCTTCCCCCCATTTTGGCTTTGCCAGCAGCTGTGAAGTTCCAAGTCATTGTCACAACCACAGGGCAGAGCTTTTTTTTGTTTGCAGTTTGTCAGTCCCCTGAGCTAAAAGGACAGGGCAGGAAAATGAATCTACTTATAATGAACATTCCAGGGAACCACAAAGTCAACCACAAATGTGAAACTCATGTGATTTAAGATGTTCCCAGATTCCAGAGGCCTTTTTCTTTCCGGAGTGTTTTCCTTTAGACATTTAGTAGGCTAATTAAGTTAAAAGAAAGTTTGTATGTAGAGTGGCATCGAGTTGTGGGGGTTTTTGGGAACACACGAGCTCCAGGAGTAATGTTGAGTGAGACTTCCATGAATTTGTAGCTTTATTAGAGCTCTTTTTTGCCCTTGGGGTTTGTCGTTCTCTGACAGAAAGAAACCCTCAAACTTTTACATACAATGTACTTTTTATAGGTCAGAGTTTCAAAGAACAGGCAAGTCTTGTAGGAGAAATAACACACAAAATAAAAGACAGTTTGGTAGGAGCTCAGTTTTTTTGCACAGTGGTTTATGAAAGTGGAACTTCTTTGGTTTAACAAAAATGTTTCATTTTACCTTCAACGCCTGCTGTGCCTTTTCAGAGAGTTTCACATCACTGTCTTCAACCTGGAGCCAAAAAGAGTTTCCATTTGTGTTGTTATTTATATCACAGATAAAGCAAGTCTAATGTCAAATAAAACAAGTTAAATAAAGGCAGTCTAATGCTAAATAAAAAGCATTAAGGAAGTTTTGAGGCAAACAAGAACCTCAGGTACCAGAGGCAGACAAGCCCAGAGTGCTGCAAAGGCAGTTTTGTGCTCTTAATACTGTGTTATTATGGGACCAAAACAGTTCCTTGCATGAAATTAAATGCATAACATTCTCCCCAATAAATGCTTTTACAGGCTAAAATACTAGTGTATGGACAGAAAACAGTGTATCCCATCCAGTCTTACTTTATACTACTGGTAAATTATGGGTTGCCAAAGGCAGAATGTTGCTCAGTTTTATTAAATTCACTGGAATTCTGCCTCTAACACAGGGCAGCACATCAGAGGGCTGGAATCAGACCTTGCTTCCTGTTGGGGTGATCTAGAGTGCCTCACAATAAGCAGAATTTGCCAGAAGTTACCCTCTGTTATACTTGTAACAGCTAAAAATGATTTCAAACTTGTGTTAAGAACGGACTCACAGCCTGTTTCCACCCATTAGTGTTTCACTCCACGTGCAAATTCAAAAATCAAAAGAGATTCACATATTAACATTCTACTTCAATGCCCAAGTTCTGTATTTTCCCTCATCCATCCATCCATCCCTAACAAGTGTTCCCTGGTGTACAAAGCCAGGTGAGTGTGTGTGGACTCACCAGCCAGGATGTGAACCTCGGGATTCCTGCAGTCAGGACAACGTGGCTGGTTTCTGGAGTAATGCTGCCATCTGCAGGGAAAACCGGGGAAGCAAAGCAGGACAATCATGGGAAAGATCTCCAAGTTCATCGAATCCAGCCTCAGACCTAACACCACCATGCCCACCAAACCATAATTCCACCCCTGTACTTCAGACTGCCCAATAATTCGCTTTTAAGAGCTGAAATTTCTTCAGGAAATATGAAAATGTTCTCATTGCTTTAAGGATTTATGAGTGTTTAAGTGAAGTCACAACAGCCTAACTCCCAGTGTTCTTGTGCTCTGACAGACACAGGGCTGCTGGACAATTCCAGAGAAAGCCTCATTTATTCTGGTGTTTATGTGGCTTCTTCCTTTGCTCTCCTTCCCACCAAAAGTGCTCCAAACCCATCAGGGGAACAGCAACAACACCCACTGGGATCCCTTGTGCTCTTCCAGCACAGCCAAGCCAAGAGAATGACACTCAGAATTTCAGATATTCACCTTTTTCTTTGACTTGTATCTGTGATGTCAGAAAGGACTCTGAAAACACAACAGATCCCAAACATCCTCTTCCCGTGAGCAAGTCGGGAATGTCAAACACCATCATGGACGCCTGCAGCAATCCCAGGGGTGGAGGGGAGGGAAGGGAAAGCAGAACTTGAAATATTTCAAGTGAAACAGAGAAATCTGTGTGTTTTAAGCATCCCAAACAACCACTTCTCCACAGTGGTGGAAAGTCTGAGATCATCAACCTTAATTAACGTCAATGTTTTATTCCAATTTCCACGGTCTGACTTAATATTAAACCTGTTGCAGCATCTGAGATCTCTCTTATATCTCCTCTTACAGAGATAAAGATCTCAACACGCCCCAGAAAACCTGCCACTTGAGCTCTATTTTCCAATAAAACCATACAAATAAAATAAAACCAATAATAATAAATAATGAAGGGCTTACTCACCGTTTTGATCAAACTCAGGCTGTCCTCGTTATCTAACGGGGTAATTCTAGAACAATGACAATTAAATATTTAGAAGGTAGATCATTTTTAGGGGCTCCAAAGCAGCCAAAAAAAAAAAGGTTATTTTATTTTAATTTAAAATAAGCTCTTATTTGTGGAGGCCATTTCAATCAGATAGCATGGGGGTTAAGAAGCACAAGCTTGTGATATCAGCCAAGTTAAAAGCAAATTTTAAAAGGGAACTCTTAATGAGCTCATGCTGCTTCTACTAATTAACAGTTAATAAAACTGCTCTGCCCAATTGCTTCCTATTTTTTTTAATGTTTTTAGGATTCCACAGAACTACAGATATGAAATCATTCAACCATCTCATGCACAAAAGCCTTTTGCACATCTGGTGTGAAATAATCGAGTGCAACGTTTTCTCAGAGAAGCTCTAAGAGAAGAAAAATAAATTTATCACGGTATGAAAAGCACTAATTGATAACAAGAAGTCTAAGGCAGTGATACAAACCTTCCATGATTGTTCACAGCCTGAATTTGAAAAGCAATTTTGGAGCTGCAGGAAGAGAAATTGCACCGGTGAAACACGTTGTTTAGAATTCTTCTACACGTGAAAAATTAACAGGAGTAGAATTGAAGCAAAATAACTGAAGTGATAAAAAAAAAGCAGGCAAATGGGACAATTATAATTATTTTAAAAGCCTGACTGCATCGTGAAGTGTTTGGTAGCCAGTTTGAAATCAATATTTGGTATATTTTTCCCCAATATATTTGATATATTTGATATTTTTCCCCACGGAGACAAGAGATCGATCAGTAACTGTAGGAAATACCCACCGTAAAGCAGATTTGAGCTGTGTCAAGCAAAGGGTGTCTAAGACAGCCATGAGCACCTGCTCTGCCACCTCCTTTGCCTGAAAAAGAAAAAGGAGATGGAGGATGAAACCCCCTTTTCCCCACCCATCCTTTTCCAAATCCCAGCAACCACAGGAGACAACCCGTGAGAGAAACGAGACACTGAACAGGAACACACTGATGCACCAGGCTAAAATTTGTTCTTTCACAGGAAAATTCATGAAAGGTGGCAAAATATTGTAGGTGGGTAACAGGAACACTCTGAAAGGTGGTTTTTTTAAGCAGAATTCAGGGACTGGTTGGAGGCCACGGGCTGACCTTTGTGTTACGCAGACGAACCACGACATTAATTTGGGGTTTAAGGGTTTCTTCTCAGGGTTTAATTTGGGTTTGCATGTCATGGCCCAGCGTGAGCAATCCAAATGAACAACGAGAGAGAGAAGGGGGGGCTTCATTTACCTTGGATTCAGTGGAAGTTTTAGCATAGCACTCAATGCCAGCAAGCACAGCCTCTACAACAGCAGAATAGATTTGCGACAACAGAGCACTGAAGAGAGAACCAAACACACACATTTACTACACACGGAGAGTTTTCTTCCTCCTCTGCCTAAAGGGGCAGTTCTTCCTCTCACTGCACAAATCTCTTAATAAAAAAAGGGGTCCTGGCTCAAATGAGTGCAGAAGTAGGTTTATAATTAAGCTTTTGGGTTGAGAAAATTAAATTAGAGCAAGGGAGTTGCTGGAGTAACAGAATATTTTGGGGAGGTACCTCCTGAGACAAATGCAGCCCTGCTCAGGCAAGAGTAAAAACATGTTTTCCTGTTGACTTTCACTGCAGTTTTGTTGAGAATCACATCCCATTGTTTTAGGGAGCTGCATTTCAATGCAATCAGTCTCCTTGGAATCAGCCTTGGAAGAGCAGCACACACGGAGTCCTCCAGATAATCTGGGTCAC